TTTTTGTAAATCTTATTGGTGTTGAGAAAGGGCATCATGAGGACGTCCGCGCTTGAGACACCGGAGGGTAGGCTTATCGCTGAGTTTGAAATATTTTGCACTTTTGGCGTTGTTTAGTTGGCTAAAAAAATTTATTGAGAGATACTGTATGTAGGATTTAACCAAAACTCGTCTAAATATGTCAACGCTTTGCGAAGACGATGACGTTTGTACGCGTGGAAAATGGCTTTTGAATTGCMAGGCGATACGCACAGTGTCATCATATATTATAGCATAATATGATGATATGGTATGTATATAGCAGTAATATCGGCGTAACGTGGCACGAAAATAAATATTATTTAAGACCGTCGGCAACGGCATTTCAATGGAACTTTACGATAACCGACTATGCGACGACGCGCGCCAGCCACACACGACACCGCTGAAGCTTTTAGACATCCGATCACAAAAACACAATATTATATTATATACAGCATGCTCACGGTATTATACGTGTCTACGAGAATTTCGTGCAAGCCCACAACGCTAATGGCATTCGGTTTTGTACACGATATCGTATCATATTATACTATTATATGTGCTYTCGTACTCTATCCCTCAAAATCTCGACGTCGTCGTAGGCGAGCTATAGTGTATTATTTATAAAATATAATATATTATTCTAAGTATAAGAGTGATTGTGAGACCKTGTGTGGGCGATGAGTGAGAGCATAATATATATGTATATATAGGTACTAGTAGGTGTAGTATAGTTTACTCGCTGATGACTATCACAATCACGTTATCATATTATCATTGTTATTATTAAATGCGAGACGAATMATTATTGTCGTCTACGCTGCCTTTGTTCGTATGAACTGCTCGAGAGCACTAGATAGGTCGTATGCCGGTGTCAACCGAATACAATTATTATGATTATTATTTGGCGCCAATGATTCATAGTTAAGCGTTCGAGTTATGYGATATATAATAATGAATTATTACCAAAGTGGATGTCTGCGGCGCCACCAAGGATCGTACGAGTAACGATTAATTATTATTTTCAAACAAAACATTTTGTTGTTATTTTTTTTCAACTGTTGTCATTTATTATATTATGCTGTGTTATTGAAGCAGATATCGCATTTTTAGCTTAAAAAATGTACTGTGCTATTAAAAAACTGTAAACTATATCGAAATCTAAAATATTTATAAATACATATTTTGATGTATCAACACTTAGTATAATGTCTATAGAAACACAATGATGTGATTTACGAGATAACTAATGGCTGACATAAATACCTAAAAGATCTCTACATATTCGTTRGTGTATTACCAATATATCTCGATTTAAAAATTATAATAAATACAATTTAAAATTAAGCTGCGCGTAAGAAAATAGCAAAAATATTTATTKCAGTGGTTTCTTATTTTTCTACGGACTACCAAAGTCAAAAACTAACGGGGGGGGGATTTCATTTTTTAGAAATAATTATACAACTATAGATATTTCTCAAATAAATAAATTGGTGGATTTGGGGTCGCCATTTTTCAATAACAAATTAAATATTATTTAAAAAAAAAAAATAGATTTTATTATTTGTTAAAAACTACTTAACATTAYGATTAATGCACATGCTTTCAATTGGCTTACTGGCCATTCTTAAGTTAGTATCATTAATATGTAATGTATATAATTTCATGATGTAGTATATGTTGTGTGTGTGTATGTAAATTTGTTTAAATCTTACCTGTGGATCGGCTTCGGTTCTCTGCGCGAAATTAATATTCGTCCTGACAGTTCGCTCGCGTAGGTCCTGTGTTGGCCTCGAGTTGTTTCCCAGTGGAGCTTTCGGGTGTTCCACTGAACCTTGAGATAATTTCCTTAAGTGGTACATCTGAAACAATGGAAAACAACTGTCGGGTTAGTTTGGGTTTCGTGCGTGATAATATATATATATATATACATAACAGATACACTGAACTAGCGTGCTTCCTCGAATGACAAACAAACGAAAATAAAAAAAACCAACGCGAAAGTCGTGCGTACACTGCATGAGAAGATCCTTTTCATTAATTCAAAAGCGACAGTTTTAACGGAACACGTCGTTTTGGAGAGCATCGTGTGCTGGTAGGAGGGTGAAGGAGAGAGCGAGAGAGAGAGAGCCAGATTTACAGGGAGACATAGCAGAGTTACATAATAGAAGCAAGAGTTAAGTAGAGAGAAGAGGGGAAGGGATTTGACGAAAAAAAGGATACGTAACAAAATATGTGAGTTTGCTCGTCCTCACATCGTCACCGCAATTAATCGTGTCCCACCGYTACAGCCACCGTCGCGTTTCCATTACCACGCGCGCACATAATAATATATACATATATAGTTGCTATATACTATATTATACACTCGCCTCTCGTCTGGTTATGTAAATGGGTTTGTTCAGCACTATCCACACGGTCGTCTCCCAGCAGCCAGGATGAGTGGTCGATCCTTCGTACGTCATGTAGTATTTGATGTCCGGGAGCATCTCCCTGATGGATATGTCCTTTATTGTACGAAGAGAACCTGTCAGCGGAGAAAAAGAAAAGAATTTTCGTTAAAAAATGAAAGTAGAAATATCATGATGCTGAGTCGCGAAATATCATTGTCGCTTTCATAGTGGTACAGGTTGTTATTGTAACAGATAATTCTCGGAATCGGGACGCGTAAATGCAGCAGTCCAAAAACCCATCAAGGTCAGCAAAAAAACCAATTAGATTTGTAACCGTTTTCCATAATATTATATATATAATATATATATATATATATATTATATTAGAGTAGGTTTGTACAGTCTGCGACTGATATTATATGACACACGATGATTATTTGTGTATAAAATCGATSGAAAGTTAAGTGTAAAGTTKGTAATACTGTTATGGAGTAGAACCTACTGACTAAAATAATATGATTATAAATAAAACAGAATATTTCATCAATAGAAGATGAACTAAAGACTTACTGTTCCACGTTAGATATACATTTAAATAAACTATTATATTGACGTACCTACACGATTTTGAAAATTGTTTTTGATAGTTTAATGTTTAATGTTATTACTTATAATTAATAAAAAGTTACATTTTTGAAAAAATTAGAATGTTTGCCTGATAAAAATCAGATTTTGAACGAGTATTTATAAATATTTAGATATGGGTGAAATAATAGATAATGATGATCCATAATATTATGTACTACTCTTTTCAATTTTTACATCAATATTCTGCTGATACGACAATATTTTTTGAGAAAAT